TAGTGTAAGCACTATGGAAAACAGTATGGTAGCTCCTTCAAATTCTAAAAATAGATCTGCCATATGATCCAGCAATACCACTTCTAGGGATATTCCCTGAAAGGAATGTGATTCAGGTTACAACAGACAATTGCACACCCATGTTTATTGCAGCACTATTCACAATAGCTAAACTATGGAAATAGCCATGATACCCCATTTCTGATGAATGGATTAAGAAAATGCGGTATTTATATACAATGGAATTTTATTCTGCCAGAAAAAAAATGAAATTTTGTCATTTCCTGGTAAATGGATGGAACTAGAGAACATTATTTTCAGTGAAGTTAAGCAGGTTCAGAAAGCCAAAAGTCACATGTTTTCTCACATACGTGGAATATAGTCCTAATACAAATACAGCAATATTCTCAAAAAAAGGTCACACTAAGGGAATGTCACATACAAGAAGGATAGGATAAAAGGAGAAAATTAAGAAGCTGAATACGTTTGACATACACTCCATACAACAGTGAATATACAATTTTTAAATTGATTGAAACCACCATAAGAAAGTTATTAAGGTAGAATGAAGAAAAATAGAAGATATGAACCAGTTTGGGTTATAATACATATATACATATGGAAATGTCACAAGGAAACTTCCCTGTGTAGCTATTTAAACAAGCAAAAATGTCATTTTTTTTTCTCTTTTTCCTTCTACAAAATTAGAGAACAGTATGGCTGAACAGGTCCTGCTCAGGTGAATATTGTGTAGGTGTTCTGTATACATGTGTCTAAATGGAAAAATGATACATGTTGAATCTATTCCAGGAATGGGGGCGGGTGGGGTAATGGAGAACTGAAGGGAGTGAATCCAAGTATGACACATATGATTCATTTTAAGAACTTCTATAAATCTCACAATATATCCTCACCCAGCATACAATAAAAATGTAATAATAAAAAATTTAAAAATAAGAATACTTAGTTAAACAAAAGGATAATTTGTAAAATAATAACTTGAATGGTTTCCTTTTAATGGGCAATAAATGTAAAGTATTTAAGGCCTATGTGAATACTCGTGGAATAGTGACTTCACCAGAGGAATATTGTAACAATCATTTACATATGACTGATCTTTAGGACACCAGTCAGTCTCTTTCTAACACTATCCAATATGTTCTTGAAAAACCTGTCACTGGTAAAACAGACAGAATGTACACATAGGTTCATAAACATACTATTACATTCACCAAGGTTAACATAGGTATAGTCATTGCTAAGTGCCCATTCTGACAGCAACAGAGGCCAACACTGAGTCACTGAGTCCTTGATATATCCCAATTTCCAGAGTGATCACTCAACTATTTGGTGGCAGATTTATTGCATTTCTTTGCTTCTATTATAAAAGGGACATTTCATTCTTAATGAAATAGATACTCTGGAATCAGACTTTTCTTTCCTAAGTATAAAGAACCTGCAAAATAGGCACCTATGTGTTTATAGAATCTTAGTCACCACCATAGTATTCTACAATGAGCATGCTCTCTTCAGGGGGTTCTCTTCATGGAAAAATGCATGCATGTACATGGAAATCAATCATTTTACTGTTTTGCCAACCACTTTTTCAATGTTCTTATGGCCTTTTAAAGAACCGGTTACAGACACAACTAGGTGTCTATTCTTTTTTAGATCTGGACTAAGGATATCCAGAAGACTGTATGTACTTTTAATAAGCATCAATATATGGTGCTATTTCTCCCAGAGCCAAAAATCACATTACCAGTAATTAAGGAGTAGACATGTGTGTGACATTTCTCAATATTGCCTCTACTGATCTACTAGCATAAATTTTCTTTCTTTGCCTACAACTTTATGTTCTGATGGCATAGAGGTCTTAGTTAAAGGTTATGGAACACTTTGAACAACATTCAACAATGATTCTATTAAACTAGAAGTTAAGGCTACCATTTTGACACTTGGGTTTCAATATGGATGCTACTGTGCTTTCTGGGGTGATTGATCTTGACCAACAAGAGAAAATTGAACTGCTGCTTCATATTAGAGGTAGAGAAGAATTTGTATGCAACATATGAGATCTCTTCATGGTTGTATTAGTATTACCATTCCTTGTGAGTAAGGGAAATAAAATCCTTAAACAATCCAATTCAGTCAAGACTGTTATACCCCAGATCCCTCAGTAAAGAAATATTGGGTTACACCATCAGTTACAGAACTATGACCAGCCAAAGTGCATGCAGAAATGAAAGGAAATATAAAATCGGAACTAGAGGATGGTACAATACCATCCACAACCAAGATACAAGTTACAAAAAGAAATTCTGTAATTGTCCTAAGTATTTTCTCCTTTATTTGATATAAATACATGTGTGCATGTTTGGTTTTTATGCTCTCTTAGTTCCTTAACTTGTAACATAATATACATTAATGTTATATCATACAATTGAAGTTGATTTTATTTATAATCATATTATCTAAATTCCCAGATACAAAGGAGGAACATAAGCACCACTCAAATGTTTACTTCTTCTGCTGGAGGAGTTAGTATTTTTTTAATTGTATGCAAGGCAGTAGAATCTTGGAAACATGGCAAAAGATGGAATTAAGCATTGTGCTATGGTATATATATATTTATTATTTCCCCTAAATTCATGTTTAGAATAGAAATTCTAAACCCCAAAGGAGATAACCCTTTGGGAGTTGATGTAGCATGAGGATGGAGCACTTAAACTTGGAAGTAATGCCTCTATTAACTAAGCCCAAGGTACATTTTATGTCCCTCCCATCACACAAGAATAAGATGAGACGGCAACATTTATGAGCAAAAGATCCCTTACCAGACACTAAAATTTCTACCAGAACTGTAATAAATAAATATTGTTTGTTTATAAGCTGTTTGATTTATGTTATTTTTTTAAATTTATGACATTTTAATATCAGTAAATTTACCTTAAAATGAATGGATATCAGGAGTGGTTTACTGTATTTAGCTACATTAAAATGTATCAGCCAAAGAGCAAGGGAAGAACCCTTCAGAACTATGCCATAGAACTGTTTAAGTAAAGAATATATGATATATTGTAAATTCACTTGGACTATTCTCTAAATATACTGAGTTATTAAAACTTGTTTCACTGATTGTTTTAAAACAGTGGTCTTCTAAGTATACTCAATTCAATAATATTGACCTCTCTGATTCACAAAGTAGTGAGGAAGCCAAATAATCTATATTTTTACATGCTCTCCAGGATATCCTGATGGCCAATCCATTGTGAGAAGCCAGTATCTCCCTCATCTATTCTCAAAACTGAAAATTAGTGATGCACTGTATTCTATGGGATTTTTTCCCATCAATTCATTTCAATTTCACAAACAATATTTAGGTTCTCAGTTGTGAGAGCCACTGTCCATATACTCCAAAGACTCAAGAACTAAAATCTCTGAGTGGTAATCTACAAGATCTTTTGGGTGAAAATAAGTAGTGTACAAAGATTATAAGTACTATTCAAGAATTATTTGACTTATAAGAGTAAAGAAACTGCCAAATATGTCAAATTATTTCCTGTCCTACCCTCTTTGAATTAACATGAAATGATTCATGGAATAAGGAACATATGAGCTAAAACTTGAAAAAAAATCTTTTCGTTTTAAGTGTGTATGGCAACAGATAGAAGAAATGAGTGATTTATGGAAACAGCCTTATTAGAAAAAAGAGAAACTAAGTTAGGCCCAGTAACTTTATTTTGGCTTCAAAGTAGGTCCCATTAAGAATTACTGAGGAAGAGACTCCAAGGTTAAACTAAGGTTTCATTGAAGAGGAACTCAAACAGCACCATGTTGATCAAAACATACAGGGTGACAAAGATGTGCAAAAGTGTGTGTGTGTGTGTGTGTGTGTGTGTGTGTGTGTATACACACATATATTTATAAATACATACAAATATAAACATATATGCAAATATACATATATATTCTTTTAGAAATTGCATTCATAAAAGTGCAATAAGTTATATTTAACAGAACTTTACTTATGAATTACCATCTGGCAGTCAATTTTTGAAGATAAAAACATCAACGATGTATTCTGGAAATAAGTAACAAAAATTTTTCCAAACACAGAGATGGGTGCATCTTAGAGTGTGGTCCTGAGTTGTGCTAGTCTGAGTGTATAAGGATTTCCAGTGTTGAGTGAAGAAGCTCAGGCTGACCTGAAAAGAAATCATTCATTGTGCTTGGAGTATAGATTTTAGGAATGTTAACAATCCAATTTGTTATGTAACATCCAAACTATTGCTCACTTTCATATCTTCTCCAAATACCCACTGGGCACTGTGATATCATATCATAACATTATTTGAATTGTTGTAATATATGTTTAAGACCCTTCATTGCAAAAGCCCTCTATCTATACATTCTTATAGTCTTTAACAACACTGTCTCTATTTACTACCTTCCTTTAAAAAAATTCTTGGACTTTTTAAAGATTTTAAGATTGAGATAATTTCCTTCTTATTCTGCCACTTCTCTTTTATTCTCTACACCCACACCAACCTAATTATTCACTTTAACATGTTAGATTTCTTAAGTAGTGACCTTTTTTTGCTGCCAAATAACATACACAGTTCAAAGAATCCTTTGAAGGCACTGTACTCATAGGAATACAGTAAGCAAAGAGCATTCTTTTATTTTGTTTTTGCTTTCAGTATTTTAATTTCCTTTCCATTTGATCTTTGTTCCCATTTCTGTTCATTTCTCTGTGTGTATGTGAGTTGAATCCTATGAGAAGAGAATTTGCTATTACCCAAACCAAATGAAATAAAGGATTTTTTAATAGCTGAATTCATAAATTAAGTATGAAAGGTGTCATACCCAAGTCCTGATCAGAGGATCTGCAAGATTTTAGGATGTAATGTGTTTGTAAGCTACACTGAAGAACATGTAAGCCTGTAAAATGTTTTACTTCCTTTCTTCTTTATTATAGTATGTGCTTCTAAAGAGATCTAAACATTTCCCTTTAGCATTTTTTTCAGAGAATCTATGACTTGCTTATTTCTCAGACTGTATATGATGGGATTCAACACAGGAATTATGACAGTATAAAATAGAGAATCCATCATATCTTGATCATCTGCTTGTGGAGATGCACGAAGCAGATACATGAAGAGAAGGGAACCAAAGTATAAAGACACAGATAAGAGATGGGCTCCACAAGTGGAAAAGGCTTTCCTTATGCCTTTGACAGACTTCTTCTTTAAGATTGTAAAGAGAACAAATGTGTAAGAGGCAAGAACTGTCCCAATGGTAAATACTTGTATTGAACCAGAGAAAATAAAAATTACTAGATAATTAATAGAAGGATCAGTACAAGAAATCTTTAACAATGGCATAACATCACAGTAAAAGTGATGTATTATATTGGAGTTACAGAAAGTTAGCCTCAATAGAAAACTTTCATGAATTGTGGAATGAAGAATGCCACCTACAAATGACAAAACTAATAGCCGGATGCATAGTCTATTGGTCATGATCACTGGATAAAACAAAGGTTTACATATGGCTATATAGCGATCATAAGCCATTGTTGCTAAGAGAAAACATTCTGTAGTTACACTGATTACAAAGAAAAAAAATTGTATCATGCATTCACTCAAAGATATCACCTTGTTTCCCAGTAACAAGTTAACAAGCATTTTTGGTGTCACTGTTGATGATAACCACGCATCAACAAAGGCTAAATTCCCAAGAAATAAGTACATGGGGATGTGAAGGTGAGGGTCCTTCCATATGAGACCAATCAAACCAAGGTTCCCCACAATGGTTATGATGTATAAAACAAACAACACCAGGAAAAGGGGGATTTTCCACTTTGGTTGGTGTGTGAGTCCTGTGAGAATAAATGTTGTCACCAATGTTGCATTTTCTTTTTCCATGATCTCATAGAATGTCACCTGAAATAAAAATCACTAAATATAAGAATAACATTCTTTAAATATTTATGTAGTGAAAACTATAGGAGGTCAATGGAAGTAAAACCATGACTTTATTAGAATGTTTTCTGTATTTATTATACTATACTTGATGGAAAGTATTTAGGGAGAATTTATGGAATTGAAAAATTCAGTATCTTTCTTTATTGAATGTCAGAAATAAACTGATTTAGGGAAAAAGGAAAGCCATTCTAAGCATTTCCTAAAATTATGTGAACACTATCACATGTGCTAAAAAAATATTGAGTCAGATGCATGAATGCAGGGTCGAGAAAGAGATTCCTTTAAGTATAGAACTATAAAATTAGATAAAATCCATGTTAAGGAACTTAAATTTATTTATCAGGAAGTAGTCTAGCACAGAGAACTCCAAAGTGGTACCTTTTAAATAACTGTTCTTATAGAATATAAGCTCCAAGAACATAGAGTCAGAGGTACAAAATAGGAAACTAGAGTCAGAGAAGGACTGGAGGTATTGCTCAAGGATCTCAAACCAGATTGCATAGCAGAGATTTCCTTGAAATTTATTAATGAAACACCCTCCATAGTTCAAGAATGGGGTCTAGGAATAGGTGTTTTAAAAATTCTACCCAGGTAATTCACAGGAATGGAAATTCCCTGCTCCATGCATGATAGTATATCAGGAGTGATGAGAGGCACAAAGAAATTTTTCATAAGGATTCACAATGGGGAGTCAGTAGTAATCAATGACATGTTTGATGTGAAGTGAGTTGGCACTGAAAGATATAGTACAGACACTTGATATCTTAAATGAGATTGAGAACTCAGGTTCTTGTGGGAGGAATAACTTGTGAAAATTCAGGTGAGATACACTTAGCAAAATTATCATTAACAAACATTAAAATGTTGGAGTCATTACAATAGTTAAAAAGTGTAGCTAAAGACATCCAATGCACTAAAATAAAACAAGAAGTGAGAGGAAAGAACCTTGATGAAGTTATATTAAACAGGCTATAAACCAGATGCAATGGTGAGTACCAATAATCCCAGCATTAGGGTGGCAGAGGATGAAACTTCACAAGTTCCAGTCCAGCCTGGGCTATGTGGTAAGCCCCTATCAAATACACAAAAATTTAAACAGGTTGTAAAATGCATGCAAGCCTTGATATGAGCTGCTCACCTTTTCTACCACATTGATCTTGGTGATGGCAGAGACTAAGAACTGCTTTAGGGCTAGAAACACAATTCCCAATCCTATTGCACATAGAATGAGTGGAAATAATCTAGGTTTGTTTAGTCAAACCAATTCATCATAGATTTGGAATCTGAAGGGAAAACAAAGGAACAAGGACCCAAGAAGATTTTGGAATTGATCTAAGGCAGGAACAGAAAGACCCTAGCAAATATGTCCCACACTCAACAATGGAACTGATAGTTTTAATTTAGTTCAGCATTAGTAAGAGCATCCATAAAGGATGGCATTGGGAAGTGAGTTTTTTTTCTGCTCAGTGGCTGCCTTACTTCATTTTGTTCCTGCTCATTTTTATAGCTAATTCTTCCAGTTTCCCCAACTTTCTGTGTTAAAGCCAATATCCATCAATAAACTCATTTTCTGCCAAGTGTTTGAAGAGAGAGAAATGGTTCTTTATGAGCTTCAGAGATTTTAGGGGATGGCTTGCCTCACACCCACAATGTCAAGAACTTAAAATGCCAGATGGAACAATATTTCAACACACTGAAATGCTTAAAAGATTTCGGAGTGACCAGTATGTCCCTGACCTGGACATTTCAAAGAACTTACAAAATTTATGATGCCAATTACCAAGCAGCTTGACTTGTTTAATCTTCCTTACCTTCAGAAATGTTATTTTTATACATATCCCTTCCCATTTTAATGTTATAAAAGGTCATCTCCCTTTCATCTTAGTGAAACACCTCTATGTTTTTTCAATGAACATGCATGTTTTGATTTACGAATCTATCATGATGGAATAAAGCTATCTTGACATGTATTTTAAGCTAGTTTTCAGTTTTCTTGGATCACAGCTAAAATTGAGACAACATTTCTCTGACAATTTTCTTTTTGCAGAATAATGCTGAGGTAGAGCTAAGATCACAGCTGAAACAGGCTATACAAATAACCAATGATTTATGCAATTAAATATATTTTCATTTAGGATGGGTTTTATTTCATACAATATCCAATCACAAAGTAATTGGAAAATCCTCAAATTCTGTTTGGGTGTAGATACTTTTTCAGTTGTGAATGCTGGAAAAAGCAGTAGAGGAACATTTGTGCATATTTCCTCATATATGTGTATATGTGAGTGTTGGTGTGTGTAGGTGGGTGTGTTATGCAATCATTATCAGAATTGAGTAAAAATAGAACAGTTAAAATTTGACTGCAAATTTAAAATTGTAATCAGAATATGTACTCAATTAAACAATGAATCTTCTTATCAGAATCAACTGAAAGGAGAGGTATCATACAAAAATTTTGATTCAGTTTTTAAATGGAGTTTTAAACAGATGTTTTGTTTCCCCCAATTTTTTCATTATGCCATTGTAGTTGAAATGACCAGGTAATAAAACCTCATTAAATTAAATCATTCACCTAGCTATTTTCCTTATCTAGACTTCAGACACAAAAATAAAATACACAGATAATTCACTAATAAGGTTTCCAATTCCACTTGTCTATTTGGGCAAGTTGTAAAGCCATTCTTAAATCATCATTAATTAAACAAAAAATTAACTTTCTATATAAAGTATAGTGAATATTATAGAAATCATTTCTCTCTTACCCATATCTAGAAAAAAACTGTGGAGAAATTTAACAGTGCTAGGCTTTATAAAGCAAAAAAATGCAATTATAACACAAGAATAACAAATATCGTAGCATTTCTGAACATTGGTTTCTCAGCTTCATTTCTCAAGTTGAAGAAATGTTGTTCATATAAATATGACTTCAAATAACAGTCAACCAGTTGTACCACTGTGTGTTCTTGCCAAAAAAACAAAGGAATAGGGAACAAAATTCCCCAAGAGAGCACAAGAATTCCCTGTAGGACAAAGTGAAACTGTTCTACTGAACATTTTATATTTGTTCAAATAAAGAGAATTTTAAATTGTTCCACAGGGTTTTTATAGATTTTTGGCATAGTGAACATCAAGTCACAATAGATATTTCTATTTTAACAACTGACACTTTAGAGTGCATCTGTATTTTCCACCACAAGTGACATTTCTGAAATGTTTAGATAAGCTCTAGTTTGTTTACACAATTTATTTTTTTGTAATTGTTTTGATTTTATGTCTTTACCAGAGCTAATTAAACATAATTTTGTAAGACCAAAGATCTAGTTTCTCTTCAGGAGTAAACACCAAGTAAAGGTCATAAAAATTCAATTCTAGACATATACCTAGCTCCACCAACTAAGGCTGAACATATTGAGAAATTTTACTGACCAAATGTCGACAGGACCAGCTGAGCATGGTGAAACATTTCTGTAATCCCAGCTATACATGCAGTAGGCCAACGTAAGAGGCTCTTGATTCAAGGATGGCCCTAGGCATAAGGGAGACAATATTTGAAAAATAAGGAAGAAAAAAAGGCTGGGTTTATAGCTCAAGTAGTAGATCACTTACTTAGTGACTACAAGACCTTGAGTTCAAGCCCCAGGTAGAAGAAAAAAAATCATGGTGAAGGAGCAAAGGAAGAATAAAGACAAACAGCATGCCTGGGAGGTAGCCTAGAACTCTGCTTCTCAATGCTTAATGCCTCTAAATTTCCAAGAGATCTTGTTAAAGTGCAGATTATGTTTCAGTTGATGTGGGTTAGAGCTCAGTTTTTATTTCTAAAAAGTTGATGCCTGTTGACACTTGCCAAACACAAGTGATAATTACAAAGTCTGCAACACTGAAGAAGCCAGAAATTGTTAGTGTGATTACCTACAAAAAGGTAAGCTGCAAGGAGCCAGATGTCTCTGTAGGTTGCATATAAAATATTACTCAGGGCTTTGAAGCTAGGTGAGACTAATGTTTACCTCAACCAGTAAAACAATGAGGAATTGTTAAAGTGATACTAACATGTTCAGATTTTCTAGTGAGTGTTCATAAACAATAGAACATGTCAATAAACATTCATTCAAAAATACTTTCCCTATTTTGTCATCAGTTTTGATACCTGAATAGTTGTATGCAACTACCTATGCAGTATAACTTTTATTTCAAAATTTATAATGCAACCTCCTTTGACAAGAAAGGGGAAAAGCAAAGGGCATATTGCTTGGAAGACTCATTCATTTTCTGTATCTTTAGAATTTTGTTACTGAAAAGAAATATTCATAGAAAAATATCATCTAAAAATGGAGTCACTGAAATACTATACATTTATTGCCTCACTATTCAAAATACCCAGTGTATAGAGTCAACCTAGATACTCATAAGTAGATGAATATATAAAGAAAAAATATATGTTTACACCAGAGCAATATCCAGGAAAACAAACAATGTTGTTAGCGATAACACATTGATGGACAGTTACAATGTTATTGGTTGATAATATGTATATATAATATATGTTCAATGAAAATTTCAGAATATATAAAGAGCACTCAATGATCAATAATAAGATAACCCACAAAACACTTTTAAAATGGGTAAAGGATTTGAACAGAATCTTCAGCATTGAAGATGTATAGATGTCAGTTAAAGTGAAAAAATCTTTGCAATAGTTATTCATCAGGAAAACTCAAATAATAAGCATAAGGATATAGCAAGATGCACTGATTCTGATGACTAAAATGGAATAATCTACCTATACCAGATACAGCAATGTAGATGTTTATAGTTAAAGACATAAAAATTTAATGGGGAGTTCAGTTTCAATCAGGTTTCAGTTATGCTAGTAGATACCGAAATACGTTACACTGCTTGCTTTATCCTTCAGCTAATTTTAGTGACTCCTATCTTATTCTTGTTTTTTCTATACTTTCTTCACTTCC